CCGAGCAGGCGGCGGCGCCTCCTCCCCCTAGCCCTGGGCCGGTGGAGGGGGAGGTGGCGCTTAAAGGGGCAGGAGCTACCGGGGCGAGGACTTATCGGGGAGGGCTGCCGCCAAGGCTTCGCTGGGGGAGGGGGAATCGGGTGGCGTCTCGGGCCAGAACCAGGAAGGATCCCAGATGGAGGAAGAGAGCAGATCCCAGGAAGAGACGGAAACTTATGTGGCGAAGTGGGCGGCGGGGGTCCGAACGGGAGTACTTGGGAGAGCGGTGCCTGCCCTCCCGGGGCGCAGCGAAGACCTCTGCACAAAGGAGACTGGGAAAGCAGTGGGAGCCAGAAGGACTCCAGGAAGGCCCAGAGCGCTGGGGGATTATGCGTCGCCCCCTACGAGGTGAACAGGTTCCCTGTTTCACCTCCTCCTCAAGGCCGCATCCGCACAACTGTGGAGCTTCTAGAATCAGGAAGCTACAAGGGCACAACCTTCCTGTCCTCTCAAGCTCGGTTTTACCTTGCTCAGTGTCCTCACAGACTAGTGTGGAGGCCCCCCAACAGCCCAACACAGGCTGATGTGGGACCGTGAGAATCGCTTTTATTCATACTTCATAGTTTTGTCCCAACCACCACCACCCTCGCAGCAATCTCGGGCAACAGGAAGCAGCTGCTCATTGCAGCCCCCACCTGGTGGTGGGACGGGGTGGGGGAGGAGAGAAGCAGAGACTAGAAAGGCCCGAGAGAGATTGGGGGCACTACAGGCACCTCGAAGACCCTCCACCACGACCAAAGGTGAGTGCTACTTTTGTGGGGGCAGCAAAGAGTACTATGAAATATTATTGGAATCTCCCCAGCTTGAACAAGGAGGAGCTAGGAGCAGTACTCCTCAGGGGACTGGGAAGCCCTGGCCTAAAGCACAGGCTTAGGCGCTTCCTTAGAGCTGGAGTTTGCCAATGCCAGGATCCCTTGGTTGGCAGCCTCACCAGCTGAGCCCTGTGTCTCCCCCATAGTCCCATTTCCCCTCTCACCCCCCAAAACGAGCAAAGGTTAGGCCCCACCCCTGCTGAGTCAGCCAGGGAGGGAGCTAGGCATCCCTCAGGCCTTCCCCGGGGCTCGCCCCGTACTCACCCATGTCTGGCAGGGCTCCCGGCTGGGACCACCGGTTCCTCACTGTCCTTGGCCCGCTTGACGTGAAGGCTGGTGTTAGATCTCAAAATATTAACTGAAAACTAGCAGGAATCAAAAAGCCGGTGTATGCTTCCTGCGAACCACACAGCCTGAACTGCTGTAGGGTGATGTCCCTGTGTGACAGGCTGGGGAGGGAGGGAGGAGGGAAGGGCGGGGCTTTCTCTGGGTGGAGAGAGGGAGGAGGCAAGGACAGGGCAGACCAGGAGAAATATGGAGGAAGGTTAGAAGTGTGTGTTGACACTTCAGTGTCGTGGTAAAAAAGGGTGGTGAAGGGGGAAGGAAATAAATTGCAGCTAGTGAGAGGGAGAAGGTTCTCGGTAAATGCTGGCTGGAGGACGTCCTGAACGTGCCTAGGGAAGGGGTGGAGGGATGCAAATGACCTTTAGGATTTCATTTCCCAGGTCTGCATCTGGGTGGCTGGAAAATCAAAGCAGGGACGGGTGACCCGTACCCTGAGGCCTTCACCACCTTCTTACCCACTCCAGAGTCAGGACCTGGAGGAAGTGTCCCCACCCCCGTAACTCAGCATTTCCCCAAATTCAAGCTTTTTCTGGGAGCCGACTAGCAGTCTGTCACAAGCAGCTCAGGGGCTCCACCTTCCGTCCAGATCATGACACCAGCGAGACTGGTGCAGAGGACGTCACAGGCAGACGGGAGGAAGCTTAGAGGCCCCTACTCCACCCCTGACGCCTCTTCCAGGGCCCCTCCCCAACCTTTAGCCCCCAGGGGCCTCTGAATGGGGAACTCAACTAGTCTCCGCCTAGCTTTTACCCAATTTGAAGGCCTTAGGGGTGGAGCCTATACATATGCAGGCTCCTCCTCTGGACAAAAGCCTCATCAGGTTTGTAAACAGTCATTAGATGGGGGAACCACCTCCCAGCAAATGGCCTTTTAAAGATTTCAAAATGGTGACATCAGTTTTTGCAGTTCCCAGTGCTACCACGAGAGGGCAGTATGATGGGCCTGGGCCCAGAGAACACCTGGGGCACCAAACCTGACCTTTCACTTCTACCACGAGAGGGCAGTATGATGGGCCTGGGCCCAGAGAACACCTGGGGCACCAAACCTGACCTTTCACTCTTGAGATTTACTGTGCTGAAATGAAAGGAAATGGTCTATTTAGAAGTCTAAGCAGCAACTCAGAAAGTTGCTATCTTCCTGTAAGAGCAAATCTTTCCCAAACTTTCCTAAGGGACCTTAGTAGAGCTGACTAGGCCTTGCTATTTTTTACCCCTGCACTCAATCACAAACATACAAGTCTAGACTTGCTCAAAATGTCAGGAGACAGTGTGGTTAGAACACCCGTGTTAAGGTCTAATCAAGACGTAAAGGGCCTTTTTAACTCACAAAGCATAGCATTCACCATTTCCTAAAATTTAGCTGATTAACCCCTGCCTTGTTTTGGAATGTTACTTCCAAACCAGTAGATACTTTGAGACAGGGTCTGTGTAGTTCAGGCTGACTTCAAACTCCCAATGATCCTCCTGCCGCTCTCTCCTGAGTGCTGGGATTACCAATACATTTTTTCCAATATTGCTCTACCAAAAAAAAAAAAAAAGATCCCTGTATATAAAAATGTGCTATGTGAAGGGGGAAAACCCATTTACTTTTAACAAATGCTATGAATAAGACAAAGCTGAGGGATCCTACTAAGATCACACTACCTCCAGGAAAATCCTCATAAAACTTAGTTTACAAATCTCAAAAGGATGGCTATTTTCTTTTCCTTTTTCTTTTTTTTTGGTACCGGAGATCAAACTCAGGAGCTTGCACTTGCAAGGCAAGTGGTGGAAGCATTGAGCTAAATTCCCAGCCCAGGATGGCTATTTTCTGATGATACCACCCCAAGCATATTTATGCTGCACTTTGTGCTAAAAGTGCATCTTTATGGCCACTCATTGTCAAAAGCTTCAGTGCAGCAGAACCAAGAAAAATAGACAAATGCTTAGGGGTTTACATTTTATTGGAAACCTTAAATACTCTTCAGACACATCTTCATTTGAGGCTCTTGTACGGCCTACACATAAAACTGGTTTCAGGGTTAGCGGCAAAGAGGGCAGCACAGAGGACAAGAACTTATACTGGCAGGAGGCCCTCATGATGCATGCTCTTCCGCCAGTTTATCAGCTTTTGCCACAGCTTCTTCAATGGGTCCCACCATGTAGAAGGCCTGTTCTGGGAGATGGTCATAGTCTCCTGCAAGGAAAACAAATCCAACTAGCAGTGAGTGCAGCATGGTACCAACTTTATATGTGGGTGGAGGCCACCAGACTACAACCAACTCACATCGTCTAAGAAATCTCTTGACCGTCCCTCAAGTCAAATTCAAATAAAAAAAAAAAAAAGATACAATATACTATGGCTTAAAAGCATATGATTTATGCCAGACATTGTGGTGCATGCCTGTAATCCTAGCACTCAGGAGGCTGAGGCAGGAGGATCGCTGTGAGTTCAAAACCAGCCTAGACTACACAGTGAGTTCCAGGACAATCTCAACTACATAGTGAGACCCTTTCTCAAAACAAACAAAAGCACATAATTTAGAACCAGGTATAGTAGCACACACCTGTAACATTAGCACACGTGAGGCTGAGGCAGGAAGATCGATGGCCACAAGTTTAAGGCCAGCCTGGGCTACATAGTGAGTTCAAGGCCAGTCTGAACTATATAAGAAGATCCTGTCTCAAAAACAAAACGTGATTTGAAACTATATAAATGAGAGCAAAAAAACTTTTTTTGAGACAGGGTCTCACTTATGTAGCCTAAACTGGCCTGCAATTTAAGATCCTCCTGCTTCAACCTCCTGTCTGCTGTACTACAATGGCCTGCATATTACAACACATTCTTTTTCTCTTCCTTGGCTATGTGATATTGGGAAGAGTTTATTTTTAACTCTTCTGAACTCGTTTCCTCAATTGTAAAACAGAATAATAATGCTTTTCCTGTACTGTTGTAATTTGCTCAGAGGAGTAGCTAGAATTGAAACCATTAAGTGTTGGGATTACACATAAAAGGACGCTAGAGAGCTACTTGGGAGCCCAATCCTGAAGGATCACAAGTTCAAGGCTAGCTTAAATGAGACCCTATCTCAAAAGTACAGAAAGGCCTGGGATGTAGCTCAATGCTAAAGTATTTCCCTAGCAAGTACAAAATCTTGAGTTCAATTCTCAGTTCTGAAAAAAAATTTTTTTTTTACTAAAGCAAAAGTTAATAACTGAAATGAAGGGGTGGGGAGAGACAGCATGTTGCTTAGCATGTTCTATTCCCTGGGTTCAAACTCAAAATTATCAGGAAAATAAGGAGGGAGGGATGACGAAGCTAGATATTCAAGTAATGTCACACTCAGAAAAATGTACTTTCAATAAAATTGGTGAGAAATATTAAAAAGAGTAAAAACAAAAGAAAAAAAAGAGTAAAAGCCAGACATGATACTGTACACCTTAATCTCAGTACTCTTGGAAGCTGAGGCAAGGGGATCAAAGCTCAATCCCAGCCTAGGCAACAGCAAGACCTTGTCTCAAAAAACAAAGAGTTGGGAATGTAGCTCAGTGCAAAGACTGTGGGATTCCATTCTCACTATTTGAACAAAAAAATTAGCAGACTATAGTTTCTGTTGCAGTAGCCACATAACAAACAAGATTTCAGTTTTTCTATCATTTTATGTTCAGCTTTATATTCAAAATCTCACCTGCCAAAATCTGCTGGAATCCTTTGATGGTCTCCTTCAGGGGTACCAACTTCCCCATATGCCCTGTGAAGACCTCAGCAACCTGGAATGGCTGAGACAAGAAACGCTGTATTTTCCGTGCCCGGGATACAGTCAACTTGTCCTCTTCAGAAAGTTCATCCATACCCAAGATGGCAATGATGTCCTGGAGGGATTTGTAGTCCTATGAGAAAACAAAGTAAAAGGTACCTAAGTGTTCACATTCCTTCAGTTTAGACAAAAATTTGCTGAAACAAGTCAATAGGGGGCAAGTTACATTCTGGGGATAGTGAATACCAACAGCCAAGATCAGTGTCTTGTTCTACCCATTCCCTCAAGTGCTATTCAAAAAAAACTGAATTCCAAGCCAGGCATGGTGGTGCATGCTTGTAATCCCAGCACTCGGGAGGCTGAGGCAGGAGATCATTGTGAGTTCGAGACCAATCTGGGCTACACAGTGAGTTCCGGGTCAGTCTTCACCTACACAGTGAGACCCTGTCTCAAAAAAACAAACAAACAAACAAACAAACAAACAAAACCACCCTGAATTCCAAAGTCCAACTACAAATTCAAAAGACTGTTAGCACTATCAATTGGCAGTCTCAATTTTCTTTGCTCCAAAGCAAATCACAAGTGACTGAATCCTGATATAATCTTCAAATTCCTTCCTTCTAACTTTATGGCTACTGATCCCACACAGCAATATACTCACCTGAAGGATCTTTTGTACCCCACGGGCGACATCGTAATGCTCACTGCCGACAATGTTAGGATCCATGATTCTAGAGGTGGAGTCCAGAGGATCCACAGCTGGATAGATACCCAGCTCAGCAATAGCACGGGACAACACAGTGGTGGCATCCAAATGGGCAAACGTAGTGGCAGGGGCAGGGTCAGTCAAATCATCAGCAGGCACATAGATAGCCTAAAGTGAGTCAAGAACCCATCAAATGCAGCAGAAATCGAAGTATTCTTTGAAATTATTCCCTTTCCTGACTTCTTTTGTAACTCTACCTTCTTAGCATTAAAAGTTCATCTCACCAAGTGTGGTGGCGCACGACTGTAATCCCAGTACTCGGGAGACTAAGGCAGGAGGATCACTTCGAGTTCAAGGCCAGCCTGTGCTACATAGTGAGACTGTCTAAAAAAAAAAAGTTCTCCCCAAACTGGGTGCAATGGTGCACACCTGTAATCACAGCACCCTGGAAAGCTAAAGCAGTAAGAATTAAGTTTGAGCTCCACCTAGGCAATTTAGAGTCCCTGTCTCTAAAAAAAAAAGTTCATCTCCCAAGAGGTTATCACCCCTAATATCTACTGAATGAACCCATAAATTATTTGATCCGAGTCATGATGGAAGAATTTTCATTGTCATTATTTTTGTTCTTCATTCTACACTTTAACTATGGTAATGACCAACTTTTAGAGTTAAAAACAAGAACAATCTAGGTGTGGTGGTATGCTGCAATCCCAGGATTTCACAAGCTAAGGCAGGAGGACTACAGATTCAAACAGCTTGACTAACTTAGCTAGGCTTTGTCTCAATTAAAAAAATAAAATGCTGGGACAGTATTCCCTGAGTTCAATCCCTAGTACACAACAAATCAAACAATAAACAATTTTCCTATACCTATTCACTAGTTCACTAAAGGGGTTGGTGCGGTGATTTAGCTCAGTGGCACAGTGCCTGACTCCCAAGTGCAGGTCTTGAATTCCATCCCCAGCACTTTACCATAGAAGGCGGGGGTTGTACCTTAATGGTAGAGCAGGTACTTAGCATGCATGAAGCCCATGACAAAAAAAAGAAAAAAATGAATCGTGAAAGTTACAATTTAGCCACATTTTAAGCCTATATATGTATTTTTTCTGCCCAAAAATGTATACACATTTAAGAGGGGAAAAAAACGTATACACATTTCAGGAAAACAAAGACTTGTATAAGGTGCACATCCTCCCAATTTAACACCTGCAGGCATTTACCTATGGGGGACCTTAAATGTTGTTTATCACAGAAAACTCACTATATTGCTGCCTAAGAGTAAGAAATTGAAAATGCATGTGCAGTAATCTCAGTAGACACTCTCTAACCAAGGTTACCCAAGTACCTCTTATAATCGTAGAGACAAAAGATAACTTGTATTAACTTATATCTCAAATTTTTTTGTGGTACCAGAGATTGAACTTGGGACCTTGTGTTTGTGAGGCAGGTGGAGGAACCACTGAGCTAAATCCCCAGCCCTCCATAAATTTAGTATTAGAATATTTATACAAGTTATTCCTTTTCATGAAGTATGTATCCATTATTTTTTGGATTCTGTATATACACATATATACCATCTATATACATTTGAAATCTTGTAGTACATTATTATTATTATTGTTTTTTCGAGACAGTGTCTCACAATGTAGTTGAGACTGATCTGGAACTCGCCATGTAGCCCAGGCTGGTCCCCAACTCACAGTGATCCTCCCTGCCTCAGGCTCCCAAGTGCTGGGATTAGAGGTGTGCTATCTGGTCTGGCTCAGTTACTTTAGATGACCCCACTACCTTGCAAAAGCCCTTTCTGAGATGTAAATAATGTGATTTTATCTCTCTGTTCCTGTCTTCAGGCAACTTAAACTTGCATCCACTTGTTTTCCTTACCTGTACAGAGGTGATTGATCCTTTCTTGGTGGTGGTGATTCTTTCCTGCATAGTACCCATGTCAGTGGCCAGGGTAGGCTGATAACCTACAGCAGAAGGTATTCTGCCCAGTAAGGCAGATACCTAAAAGAAAGAGTATGACAAAGGTCTTAAGTGTCTACATCTTTGGCCTACTTTGCACAACTCCACAGAAAGATCTGATTAACCTGCTCCTCTCAAGATTTCCCTCTTACCTCTGAACCAGCCTGGGTGAAGCGAAAGATGTTATCAATGAACAGCAGTACATCTTGACCTTCTTGGTCTCTAAAGTACTCAGCCACAGTCAGTCCAGTCAGGGCTACCCGGGCACGAGCACCAGGTGGTTCATTCATTTGACCATACACCAGCGCTACCTGTAGTAATCATATCGTATCAGAAAACCTCACAAAAGAGGATGGAAGCCACATACCCTAAATCCCCAGTTAGAAAGAAACCACCACAGGCTCTCATTCTCAGAAGTAATCAATGTTTCTGTCTATAATATGCAGGGCTGGGGATGTAGAGCTCAGTGGGAGAGCACTTGCCTAGCATGCACAAGGCCTTGAGTTCCAATGTCTTAGCAATATATTTCTCCTAACAAAAACCCACGGGCCAGGGATTTAGCTCAGTTGCACCACACATGCCTCACAAGTGCAAGGTCCTGAGTTCGATCCCAGGTACAAAAAAAAGTGTAAAAAACCTATTAAGTATTCTGTTCAAAACAGCATACATTAATTCCTTATATTTCTAAGATATAACTCCTAAAGTAGAACAGAAGGTAAAGACACAAAATATAGATATCTAAGACATAGGTATCTGAGACATAGCCAATACCAGTAAAACCCTTCTCCAAAATTAGCTTTCAAAGGCCAGGGATTTAGCTCAGTGGCACTGTGCCTCACAAGCACAAGGTCCTGAGTTTGATCCCCAGTACCAAATTAGCTTGCAAACAACAGGACTATCTACCAATCTACCAACGCTGAGGGAATCAATCAGTGGCAGTATTGGCCTATCAGGCAAGACCTGGGTTCAATCCCAGCACAGCAAAAAAACAAAAAACAAACAACCAAAACCCAGAAGGGATTTAACTCAGTGGTTCCACCACCTGCCTTGCAAGCGTAAGGTCCCAAGTTCGATCCCTGGTACCAAAAATAAATAATAAAGTAAAGAAGTATTTTTCTTTTCTTTTTTTTTTTTTTTTTTTTTTTTTTGAGACAGGGTCTCACTACATAGTTGAGACTGACCTGGAACTCACTATGTAGCCCACGCTGCTTTCAAACTCACAGCGAACCTCCTGCCTCAGCCTCCCAAGTGCTGGGATTACAGGCGTGCGCCACCACGCCCAGCCTAGAAGTATTTTTAAAAAAACAAAGAACCAAAAAACAAATGAACAAACCCCTAAAATTGTAATCTAACATCTAAGAGTAAAGATAATGTGCACTAAAGGAGAAAAAAAACACTAACAAGAATTTCTTTGTAGGACACTCAAATGAAGAAACAGACAGTTTCAACTGCCGTGGTTTTTCCTACCATAATTATTTTGTGAAAATCGGTCAGCTCAGTGGTTCATTACCTTTGAGGTAGCATCTTTTAAGTTGATTACACCAGATTCAATCATTTCATGGTATAAATCATTGCCCTCACGGGTCCTCTCACCAACACCAGCAAACACAGAGTAACCACCATGGGCTTTGGCAACATTGTTGATTAGCTCCATGATCAATACTGTCTTTCCAACTCCAGCACCTCCAAAGAGCCCTAGGAAGGATCAAGAAAAAACACTGAGGAGCTCCACATTCCCATATTAAGCAAACTTCAAAATACTATTATTGCTTCTTTCCATCTTTTCCCTTCTCAGGAATGGCATCTGGCTTCACCAAACTCAGAAGAACGAAAGTCAGAAGCTGCTCATCAGCGAAGGATAGGTATCAAATACCCACCTACATCACAGTATATTTTTGTTCTCTCCCATATTAGGTTTCGAAAATATGTACCCAACACTAACATACCGATTTTGCCACCTTTGGCATAGGGAGCTAGCAGATCCACAACCTTGATCCCAGTCACCAGAATTTCCTGCTCAACACTCATCTCCATGAACTCAGGAGCCTCAGCATGAATAGGAGCAAATCTGTAAAGAAGAGAAAAGGGAATCAGTATTTACCTTGTTGAAAGCAAATGAAAGGTTGGGGATTTCAGCTCATTGGTGCTATGCCTGCCTGGCAAGTGCAAGGTCCTGAGTTCAATCCCAGGCACCAAAGGGGGGAAAAAAAAGAAAATCAATGAATATAGTCTTAAATAACTATCAGTTTTTAGGACCAATACTGAGAATCCAGTTTACATTAGCATTTACCTTAACTTTCTGCAATAGACTTCATTACCTCAGAAACCAATACTGTTCCCTTAGAGCTTTAAAAACCTTAGAGAAGTTTTTTCTTTTACTGAGCCCTAATCTAATAACATTCTTACACACACTAATAGGAAAAAAAAAACACCTTAAAGTTTTAGAGAATCATCAACCCAAACCATACACCTAAGCCTCTTAAAATAATCAACTGGGATCCTAAAAAGAATCAGGTTTTTAACAATAGACCCTCTGGGCTGGACATGGTGGCACACTCCAGAGGCTGAGGCAGGAAGATCACTGAGTTCAAGGCCAGCCTGGACTACCTAGTAAGACCCTGTCTCAAAATACCAAACCAAACCAAAAGCACATGCCCCCGACAAATACCCCAGAACTTCTGCATCCTTAATTTCTTCAGAAAAAAATGCAATGTGTGATTTCAACAATTTAGATTAACATGTTAAATACTACCTGTAGGGAAATTGTACTTTATTAGTTATCAATCACCCTAATATGTCTAATGGCAGTAAAAAGTAGTTCCTGCCCAGCACAGCAGCAAATTCCTGTAATTGCTGATACTCGGGAGGCTGAGGCGGGAGGATGAAAAGTTCAAATACAGCCGGGAATTTAGCTCAGTGGTTTGGTGGCCTGCCTTGCAAGGGCAAAGACCCGAGTTCAATCCCTGGTACCAAAAAAATAAAAAAAAGAAAAAGAAATTTGGTTTTTAGCTCAGCGGTTCGGTGGCTTGCCTCACAAGCGCAAGGACCTGAGTTCAATGCCTGGTACCAAAAAGAAAAAATAAAATAAAATAAAATAAAACTTTCCTCTTTCAGGCTGGGGATTTGGCTCAGTGGTTCCAGTGCCTGCCTTGCAAGCACAAGGACCCGAGTTCAATCCCCAGTACAAAAAAAAAAAAAAAAAAGTTCAAATACAGTTCAAACTTGTTGAGCCCCAGTCTCAAAAATTAAAAAGGGCTGGGCTAGGGATTTAGCTCAGTGGTTCCAGTGTCTGCTTCACAAAAGCAAGGACCCGAGTTTGATCCCTGGTACCAAAGAAAATTAATAAAAAATTTTTAAAAAATAAAATAAAAAGGGCTATGATGTAGTTCATTGATAGAGGGTGTGTCTAGCATGTGTGTGCAAGCCCCTAGATGAATCCCCAGTACCACAGAAAAAACCAGATAAATGGGGTGGGCAGTTCCATTGTGAACAAATGCACAGACTTACTGTTTGGTTTTGATAGGCCCTCTCTCATCAATAGGTTCTCCAATGACATTCATGATTCTGCCCAAGGTCTCAGGACCAACAGGAATTTTGATTGGTGCACCAGAATCCAAGACTTTCTGGCCTCTGACCAGGCCTTCTGTACCATCCATAGCAATGGTTCTTACTGTGCTCTCACCTGTCAGAGGCATTGGGAGGATTCAGGTAAGGGCAAGTTGGTTATCATTTAATGAAGTGTAACTAGTATGACAGACCCATGTCAACCAAGACTCCTCCTCAGTATCTAAATATGGCTTCAGCAAATTCAGAAGAACGAAAGTCATATTGATAAAATCATCACAGAAGGGACAGCCTGTTTTTCAGACATTTGGGCTAAATAACATCTTTACTATTAACTAAAAACTCTACTTACCCAAATGCTGAGCCACCTCCAAAACCAGTCGGGTCTCCCTGCCTTGTACTTCCAAGGCATTTAGGATGGGTGGTAATCCTTCGTCAAACTGGACATCCACCACCGCACCGATGACTGCCACGATGCGCCCGGTTGCAGCCCCAGACTTGGGCGACGGAGAGGTCTGCGCCGCATAGTCTCTGGCTAACAGACAAAAAGATATCGTATGGTACTAGGGTCAGGGCGGCTAAAGGTCAAAGCAAGCCCGACTTAACCCACAAAGAGGGACGAATTCCGCCTAGGCTAGGCCTCCTTCTGCTGGAACGGAAGGCGTGTCCAGCAGGAGGGCCAAGCAGCAATCGAAAACACGCCTGCAAAGTCTTCCCATCCTGCTCCAAAGCCCATTCATTATTCGTGGCAATACCGCCATGTCACGGGAAGGTGAACGCACCTTCCCGCACTTCGTCCCATAGTCTTCAAAATGAGGCAGTACTAGATCACAGAAAGCTTCCACCCGCGATCAAATCTTGTCCTGCGGCCGTTAGAGGGCAGGCTTCTAGCACTACAAATGTACCCTTAGGCCCAAGGCACAATTCGCCCGTGGCTCAAGGTCATGAAAAGACAGGAACCTGGCTCTCAAGGGAAAGCACTCACCGGGCTGGGCCGCTGCTGGGGCGACCCTCAGTAAAAGCTGAGCTTGGGGTAGCGAAGCCGAAGAGGTGAGTCCCCGCAAGGCCCCGGAGGCCGACGCAGCAGCGACACGACCCACAAGACTCAACATGGCGGAGTCCGGGTGGAGACTGAGGGAGACAGCAGTTTGCTCTGGCTGCTCCTCAGCGGCTGGGGCGTTACCTGCTCTGCTATAGCAACACCTATTGGGTAAACTTGCTGCTCGTCATTCTCAGCGCTACATCTGTAGGGTAATATACTTCCATCCTCTGAACCATTGGTCAAAACTGGTGCTAATCTCAAATTCCTTTTTTCATTGGAGAGGCAGCACCCTGAGCCTCGAAACCTAATAGGACCAGGGCAAAGTCAGTACTCTGCGGAACTACGTTTAGTAAAGGGGCCGAGTTCCTGTTGGAAGAAGGAGTGAAACACGAGGGGTTTTTTTCCTGTCCTTGGATTCTCACCTTAGGTAGGGCCTTGAGCTAGTTAACAGCCACCTAGGCGGGGTTACCGAAATTGTGTCATGAAGCACCACCGAGGGTGACGGTGAAGCTATCTTCTCTAGAGTCAAAACACGGTTTTTTTCATAGAAGTGAGATCGGAAGCTCCCTAGCTGCTCAGCGGGTCAGAGACCCAGAGAGAATCTTTACCACTTACATCTGTACCATGAAAGAAATTAACCAGTTGACCGCGCCCCCCCACCCTCCCCTCCCGGGTACCGAAGATCGAACTCAAGACAGCACTTGCGAGGCTGGCGCAGCGTTACTGATTTAAATCCCCGGCCACTAACCAGCTCTTTGAACAGTGCATGGTGGCGCACACCCGTTATCCCAGCACTTGGGAGACGGAGACACGAGAATCGCGTGAGTTCGAGGCCAGCCTGAACTGCGTATCAAGACTTTGTTTAAAAAAAAAAAAAAAAAGAGGAAAGAGGGTCGTGGATTTAGCTCAGTGGTACCGTCGCCTGCCTTGCAAGCCTAAGGTCCTAAGTGCGATCTGCGGTACAAAATATGTAATATAATATTAAGAAAAAGAAAAAAAAAACAAACCAATTATTTTTTTGTGTTTTGGTACCAGGGATCGAACTCGGGTCTTTGTGCTTGCAAGGCAGCGGTGGAACCACTGAGCTAAATCCCCAGCCCTGAACCAATTTTTTAACACGTTTGCTAAGCGTTGAGTAGACAAATAAAAAAGAGCCGGGGGTGGTGGCACACGCCTGTAATCCCACCACTTGGGAGGCTGAGGCAGGAGGAGAGCTGATTTCGAGGCAGGCCTAGGATATACATAATGAGTTCAAGGCCAGCCAAACCCTGTCTTAAATAAAAAGTACAAACAGTTATTATATATTCATGGTACATATAAATAACATTCGAGAGGAACTAGTACATACATTGTTCTTTTCTTTGTACTGGTAGTCACACACACACACACACAC